GATCATTCTGGGAATAGGAGGGTTACCCTATAAAGATAGGTTAAGGTATTTTAACTCACTCCCCCCCCCCTTTGAGGGGAGAAGGTAAGAGGTGATCTTATTGAAATTTAGAAGGTTATCCAGTGGGTTAATATTGTTACGACAGCAGAAGTCACGTGACGCTGATAACACGTCATGAGTTTCTAGAAGGATCATGACTTTTCCTGGCAACTCTAGTCTTTTCTAGGCGCCCTCTATTTTAGTACATAAGCCCGGCAAATAAAGTGGAAGTAATAATTGCAGATAGAGAAATGTAGAGACAGATAATTGAGTCAAGCGAGCGGTAGTGACCGTAAGTAAAATACGTGAATCGTTGTGAATTATAGCGTGTGTTTGAGTTAAAGTAACTGTGGAAATTAAGTGTATTGCAAAGTTGTATTGAGAAAGAATAAACTAGTTTTATTTAAGAAAGGACTTGTATCGCTGAAGTTCCTCAGAAAGAATGTTTACGGGAAATTAACAAACGAACAGAAACGTAACAATATGATAAAGGCCTCTGACTACTATGGGCTTTATTCTGAAGATAATAGGATCAGGGTACACAAGTTTAAAATATAGAAAAGACAATCTAGTTTCTAGTTAAGAATGTTTTATTTTTATATCAGGGTGGTTGGCTTATGGAATTAGTTGCCGTCGGCAGTAATGGAGGCCAAAAGTCTAAGAGGAGAATCTATGATTTCCAGGAAATATAATAAAAGGTGAGTTTAAATTTTTAGTTATTTCAAGAGCAGGTGTAGAAAAAAACAACCTTGAAAGACCAAATGGTCCCTTGTTGTTCGTATGTTACGATATAAATAGTGTAAATCAACACTTTTCTTCTTCTTCTATATGGGTAGTCCTGCACTAAAAAAGATTATTTGCGTGAGTAGTCACCCACTAAGAATTTATATAAATCCTCCTACATTAGTATAAGCTAACTGTTTATCTTCGGTTTATGTACGTAAGTAATTTTATGCTAACGGTTTGAATACATAAAGTAAGGATTTATCAATACAAATAATTCTAAGCTTAAAATGTGTAAGTAATTCTATATAAAGTAATACTACACCAATGGTTTATTTATATAAATAGTTCCAGCTTTAATTTAATACGTGTAATGTGTCCTGAAATAAGGTATGCTTATATAAATAGTCTACACTAATGGTTTATATAAGTATTCCTACACTAACTGTTTATCTGTGCAAATATTTCTATGCTAACTGTTCATTCTATAAATTGTCCTACATAAACGATTTATCTGTGTCAATAATCTTACGCTAATTTACATCCTATAAATAGTCCTACACTAAGGGTTTATTTATGTAGGTATTCCCGGATTAAAGTTTATTATTATATATACAATTAGTTATACAATAACGTTCTTTTTACACCACTGATTCTTGAAGCCGATCTAAAATGAAATGTCAGAATCACTTGGTTTCTATATGTATATTGTAATTCTTTCGCGTTGACTTATTTTTTAATAAAAACCTTTTTCTTTAAGCTTCTGATGAGGACCTTTTGAGATACGATGACGTTTTTAATCGTCGTGGGTGATTCTTCTGCTTGTCTTTATTGCCACTTTAGACCATGTAAATTGACAAAATTAGGGTTTTAAAAAAGTACAAGTTAAGTACAAGTATAGCATTACTAGTGTAAGGCTCTCTTGTTGTAAACATCGTGGTACATATAAACCTTGATATTAATTAGAAAGCATGACATTATCTAGTTACAATTGTTCGATAAAAAATGTACGGTGAATGTGATATGTAATGTCTTATACTTTTATTAGTGATAAAATAATGAATAAAATTATATCAGCAGGCACTAGTTAATTTATATTGATATGTGTGCTTCATAATCTGTCACATAACAATAGTAAGACTAATTAATCATTCTCATGTTATAATGAACATACCTCGCACTAATTTTGAGTTGCCCTTAGGTTAAAAATAATGTTTTAGAGAATTGTATCAGTGATTTGCAGTGGTCATGAACAGCTCATGAATACGACGAGTGTAGCTCGGATTACATATAAGTAACTTGCCTCCCAATTCTAGGTGTATAAAAAGTCACTGTAACGAAATTAACTCGCTCATCGTGAACCCTCGATAAGATATTAAGGAAGTTCCAGACTAGAAAGAAGATTTTATATTGCTTGTAAGTTTGTGAAACTTTGTTTATAAATCATTGTTTGTAATAACTATTATTGTAAATTGTATTGTTGTGTGTATATTAAAATTATTTGTGTTAAAAAAGAAAACTGTGTCTATCAATCTTGTTGGCTTTTACTTAACTACTAAATTTAAATTTATCAGTTAACTCAATTTCAGACCATTTGAAATTCTAATATGTAACATCAGTTATAGCTCTAACATTGTTCATTTTGTATTGATGTTATAATAATAATACCAAACTGTAGAGTATGCAGAAAGTATACTTTATTTGTAGGCATAAACACTTGATGTATGGTATGATAGACGAAGTAAAAACATCCATCGAGGATGACATTCAGAGTTCTACTATAATATATTTTTAGCGGGGTTGGTCCTTATATTAAGAGAGAACCATAGAGAAAAAGATACCACTAATGTGCTCTGAGTGGTAACAGTTTCTACGAAAATGAAGACTCTGAAGGTATGACTCTCAGAGTAATAAGTGAAATGAGAAAGTATACTTGTTTCTTTTTGTCAAGCGTGAAACTATACAATGATGGTATTTTTGCTCTGCCCATAGAGGGTATCGAAACTCGATTTTTTACGTGAAAGACCCTCAGACTTACCGCAGAGTCACCTGTGGACAATGCAAAAGTAACTATTTGATTTATAAGACAGTCCCTCGGTTAAACTGTATTGCAGGCCCTAGCTGATGATATAAAGAGAGAGAAAAAAGCATGCAACCGAAAAGATGGTATTTGAGGAAATTACATTCATCAAAGCTAAACATTAGGTTATGCAAAGAATTTTTGATGAATGTCAAGTATTCTTAAAAATACCTAAAAACGCTTAATGTTCTGTCAGCAACTCCGACATGACCCTATCCACTAATCTATCATGTAAACTAGACAAAGATTAATAGACGAAGATGAACATTACGAGATGGAAGTTATTCAATTAGCTATAAAAAAGGGGGGTGGGGAACATATGTTGAATGAAATCCTGGATGGAAATTAAGAGTAATGATGATGAACCTACGAAATGAAATGCTAATAATACAAATACTCCTGATTGACTCGTAAGAATACTAAATTAAATGTGCATATTTCGCTGTTAACTCAAAAAAACAACAACAAAAAAACAGTTATATAAATTAAATAAAAATGATAAAATACAAATCTAGGTTAAACGTGTGTGTGTGTGTTCGGCACTTGTATGAATAAAAGCTTGGTAAATTTAGGTCCGTGGTCCCTAACTTGGATGAAATCCACTTTGTGGTCAGTTTATTTTACCCAGTTCTTTGGTAGTCGCTGTCTACCTAAAATACTCTCCTTTCCATCTGATCTTAAATGAAATTAAAGCTGGATGACATTATCAAAGTGCAATACCCTCACTTGGTAGTGTGATTTTAACTAAAGTCTCCTGACAGTCGTGAAGAGGTCTCATCTGATTATTGTGTTTTAAAATCGAACTAGTACTAGAGTATTTTTTCCTAAACAATAACACCTCGTTGGAGATAATTTATAGTAGTCGGATGAAGTTTTTTGTTGTTGTTGGGTTTTTTTAACCAGTTAACGATCCTAACATGTTGTTATCAGCTGTGTCAAGTTTATAGTAGTCGGATGAAGTTTTTTTGTTGTTGTTGTTGGGTTTTTTTTTTTCTGACCGGTCAACGAT